ATATAATATAACAAATATAATATAACTTAATATAATTTAATAATATAACTTAATAATAGCTTAATATAACTTAATAATATAACTTAATAAATATATAATATAATAAATATAATATAACTTAATAAATATAACATAATATAATATAATAAATATAATATAACTTAATATAACTTAATAATATAACTTAATAATAGCTTAATATAACTTAATAATATAACTTAATAAATATATAATATAATAAATATAATATAACTTAATAAATATAACATAATATAATATAATAAATATAATATAACTTAATAATATAACTTAATAAATATAATATAATATAATAAATATAACATAACTTAATAAATCTAATATAAATAAAATATTTATATTTATAAGTTATAATAAATATAAATATTTCACGATTTTTTTGAAGTTCTGTATTCTTGCGTTGATTTTTGCATTGTTGTTGGATCCACCGCTACAAATAGAAAGAAGAAATTGCCACTAAACATATTAAGATGAACGTGTAACGGCAAGGGAACATTTAACGCTGATTTTATGACCGATTAAAGAAAGTAGGGTAAGAGAGAAAGAGATGGACAGAGATAAGAGAGATATCGAGGCACCTGTACTAAGCCATATAAGGGTAACGACCATCACGGTCGAGGAGCGCGCGACGATAAATCGCCGAAGAACTAATTTATGTGAAGTTGACCTGTTGCCGCTGCTTTTGCGGAATCGATCCGATCGAAAGGGCAAAAAAAGAAAAAAATGAACACGCGTTCGCAATTTCAAATACGGATGTACACTCGGCTTCAAACACACCATTCTTGGGTGAGAGAATTAATGAAATTCTTGTTTCACATCTCTCCCGTGTTGCTATAGATCGGGTTAAACCGATATCCAGGAATGGAGTGCAAAGAGATATCATCCTCTCGAGCAACGATGTAACAAAAGCCAGGGGAAAATACGTGAATTCTGTTTGGCAGTAGCCGGTTCCAAGAAACTGAACAATTTATATAGTACAGTTAGATTACTGTAATAGCTTCGTGAAAGCGAACGAAACAGAAAAAAAAGAAACCCGTCTAATGAATTAAAATTACAGTGAAACGGGTCGCGCTAATGCAACCTTCGACAGCATCTTTGCGCAAAGAATTACAAACAGAGGCGAGAAAACGCGCACAATTGTTGCTTCTTCGAAGAAAGGAGAACAACGTGGGATTATTTATTATTGTTTGCGAACGAAGAAATCATCTCCAATGCGTAATATCATTTCAATGTCGGCACCAAGGTGCAGCTAAACGATTTCTTTTTTCTTTTTACGATCAGGCGCGTACCAGATGTATGATCGAAGAGTAGCAGTCGATCTGCTAATTTTACAATCGATCATTTGCTTACGTAAGCAAAAACGTGTAAAAACTAATTGAACAAAACTACGGACAGCGATAAAAGGAGTTATGTTCCATTGTCGATGGCTGTGAAACGTTTATAATTTATATCAATGGCCTTTGTCTTTCTAAGTTGCACGAATTGGTCAGGAATTAAGGTAAATATTTCACGCGTGTAAAATTGATGGACCAATGTTACAAGCTCTTCTGCATAACGAGGGAAAGTCAAAGTCAACTGGCAACGTTTTAAATGAACAAAACGATTCACATCCGATCGTCACTTTTCTTAGAGATCCTCCACAGTGGTATAATCCACGGTGGCTTTTTGTCATCATGTTGCAGTCATCTTTTAGTCGCGGATGATCTCACCCGAATTAAATCCATCATTGAATCGGCCGAGCATGCCGCACTTTCAAGCATCTGAAGCAGTAAAATTTTATTAGAAAATGGAGCGTGAAAGATGACTCGGGTAGGTAGGACGAAAATTAAGAAAGGGTAGAAAATGACCGACCTAGATCTCTGTTTGAGATATTTCTGCGTCAATTAGGCAAAAGGCTTGGAACACGATGGCTCGAGTATTTCAACCGGCGAACGATTAAATAATTCGAGACGATCGCTTGTGATGCTCGTCAAGGATATGATCATCTGCATGTGCAATGCAACCTGGATGCGCCTCTCGTTAACATTAACGTTTCGTTTCTCCAATGTGATTCGCAATAGCCGCCAATCACACGTCTACCGTAAGCATGTACGCGTCCTCGATCTAAATCTATGACGCGAATCGACGGAACTGCTAAACGATCGGCCGGTTTCATTTTCAAAGTGGTTAACGAACGACGGATCATTCGTTCGAATATTAATGACGTCCTCTTTCCGAATAACGTAACGATCACTCTTCGGCCTGCAGAATGGTGCCAGACTTGAACATCATGCACCAGATTCGACCTTTATCTATTCAGCTGAAATTCAAACTGGAACAGTTAACTGGCTTTGAAAAGGAAGTTCACCAAGTTAATAAGTTTTGGTCATTGAAACAAAATTGTTTCGTAAAATTGTTTTAACTTTGTGGAGAATATTTACTTGCACAAGTGTTGCAAAATATTCCATGATATTACCAACCTTTCTCTAAATAGCTTCGTTACATTTTTTTTTTTTTTTTTGAAATAACGGGATCATTAATAACGTTTCTTTGGAATTTGTCCTTTCCCTTTACCAAGATTATTCAAGGATCTTTGGCTGAACGTTAAACTATGTGGGAAACCAGACACTTGCTTCTCGTGATTGGACACGGCATTTCACAGTTATTATATCAAATAGGCACGCAGTAGTATAGTTCTAACGTTTATATATATATATATATATACGCTGAATCAACCATTTTACAGATGGTGAATTTAAAGGAGGCTCTAGGCGCGAACGAGCTTACAGATAAAAAGTCTGGCTTGTATCGGGCACTGGTTGCAGAATTCCTTGGTACGTTGCTATTGAATTTCTTTGGCTGTGGATCTGTTATCACGAACGACGTCGTGGCCATAAGTTTGGCTTTTGGCCTGGCTGTAGCTTCAGCGATTCAAGCAATAGGACATGTCTCTGGCGGTCATGTTAATCCCGCTGTCACGTTTGGATTGATGGTGATTGGCAAGGTAAGAATCCTCGGGAATCTTCCCGAAATTCTTGTAAAATTCTACAACACACGCACATGTGTGTCATTCATCTGTTTTGTTCCAACGTGATTAGATTCATTCTTCGTACCTTGTTATAATATAAACGGTGAAACGTGTGATTATTTCTTGAGTGTCAATTAGCACACATCAGCGGCATATGATTTACCGATAATTTATTCAGCTCCCAGTCATATGCTTTAGTCACAGATATTTCTAAGATAATTCATTCGTGACGATGCATAGATGATTACCCGAGATTAAATAAAATTTGAATTTAATCTCGAAGGGAAATGCAGTAATATCTGGCAAAGATTTACGATATAGCTAATTTTCGTAGGTAACAGATGATATATATACAGATTCACCGAGATACTTATTCTTTTTCACAGGTGCCAATTATTAGAGGCTTGTTATACGTAATTCTTCAATGTATAGGTGCAATAGCAGGATCTGGTATACTAAGAGCATTATCTCCCGAAAGGATGGAGCACGCCTTGGGCGTAGTATCTCTTTCACCAGGCGTTACTCCCGTTCAAGGTCTCGGTATAGAGTTCTTCCTCGCGTTCATACTGGTTCTGGTCGTGTGCGGTGCATGCGATGCAGCAAAACCAGACAGCAAGGGGATTGCACCTCTTATAATTGGACTCTCAGTTTCTGTCGGCCATATTATCGGCGTAAGATGTATATTCTACTTGAACAGGCCTATCTGATTAATTGAAAATAAACATGAAATATACACCTACACTGCGGCTCCACAGTTTTTACACAGCTTCTAGTTACAATGTGCTGTACCTTTACACAGGTGCGAAGAACTGGCGCAGGCATGAATCCAGCTCGATCATTCGGTAGCGCCGTTGTCATGGGTTTGTTCGACGATCACTGGCTGTATTGGGTGGGCCCGATCCTCGGCGGCATGGCAGCTGGATTGATCTACGCGTTCGTGATCGGCCCTGCGAAAGAATCGGAAAGTTCCAATCGTGCGTACACGGTGGCCGCGACCGACGAGAAGGAGGTACAGTAAAAATAACGAGGGAAGAAAATTTTGCAAAAATGATGACTCTCGCTGTAGAATCTTTCTTCGTTTTGCATTGTCTTGTTACATCTCTTAATAATCGCTTGCATTTTTCTTTTTTTAAATTTCTCTTTATCGTCTTTGCTCCACAGAAGTTCGAGTACATAGACAGCGGACGCGGTGGACTTTAGAAAAAAAAAAAAAAAAAAAAAAAAAAAAAAGAGAGAGAAAAAAGAAAAACAGTCGACAGAAAGAAAGATTCGAAGACGGGAATATGTCATATTTTTGTACCGTAGGCTATGATGAACGATGAAATCAAAATGTTATTTTTACAGCTACAGAGTCTTACCAGTAAGAAGAAAGACAACCCTGCTTAATGTTCTAATATTAACTATCGCATTTTCAACTACCACATCGTTATTTATAATGATTTAAGTGCGATCAAGATGAACCTTATGTTACTAATAATAACTTGTTACAGTTATTTAATCAGTCAAGTGTAATTAAGGAGAAGTATATATTAAATATTTTTTTCGAAGACGAAACGTAACACTCAGATACTAACAATGATACGGAGAAATTCATGCAATTCGTTCCAGTAATTGTTATATAATTTATCGAACAGACGAATGAGCATTTGTTCGCCTATATATTAAATATATATATATATATATATATATAAGCTTCATCTGTATAACTCGATCCTTTTTTAACAGACTTATATTACTGAATGGAACTATTTATAAGCCAAAGATTGATTCTGCCGAACTGAAATCTTACAGTGTCTATATCTTTCTGCCAGTTAGATGCAACGTATTTATTTATTGCAAATCATTTATGAAACATTTATTAACTCGATATAGAAAATTATTTATATCTGATGACTACCGATATAGAAGTTAGTTTATATTAGTTTTTCATTTTGCAATTTTCTAAATAAAATTCCATGGAAATTCCATGTTACCACTCGAAATTGATTTTATAACTTTTATTAACTTTTTATTCACTTTATGTTATTCATTTTGCAATTTTCTAATAAAGTTTATGTATACATCTAATATCTGTTGTAATTTCATGATTATTGTATGGAAATTCTCAGATTAATCAATAAACGTAAATGATACTTACGAAAAATCATAGTTTGAATGTCCGTGGTTAAAGTTTCAAATATGGCGCGCTTTTGCGTCATCAGTTGAACAAAGCTGCGCAATGCGCAGAACATGTTCGAATTTCTAACGTTTGCTATCGTTAGACTCATTACCGTAAACTTCACAAAGTTTCTCTCGCGATCGATGAATAATTTGAATGAAAGTAAATCAAACGTTCAAATAAATGTATCAGGAACAAAAGTAGTATGAAAATAGTACTTACCATAGTATACCAAACCAAAAATGCGATTGGAAGGAAAAAGACAATTCAGTAAAAAATTATAACAATATTCGATAAATAATTGAGTAAAAATATACAATAATTAAATAAGTTAAAAGGAGTTACCATAAGATGGTAATGAAAGCATCACACAGTTGATAAATGTCAGACGTAGTCATCACGTAGTGTTCAATAAGAATATTTCAATCGTATATAATCGTATGCTAAATGTTCAAATATTTTCTAATTATGGAAATGTAATCAATACGTAGTCAATATATAATGTATCAATGAAATCTAATCATTAAGTAATTAAAATGCATATATGTAATAACTATTTTAAATTAACGCTCATTGTTGTGGATCGCAGACGTGTTCGTCAATGCAAATACGAGTCTAAAATTACGAATCTAAATTGTAATTCTTACGTGAAAACTTTTGGATGATTTTCTGTGATGGATCTTCTCTTTCTTTGCTTTCTATTTGGAACTGACGCTAACGTGTATAGAATATACGTTACATTCTCATACTATAGATCGATCGCGAGAAATATCGATTATGTTCGAAAATTGTTTTAATTCCGAATTTTACCGTTTCGATGGCGCTGTAGTATCAAGCGAAATGCGCGCGCATTTCAACTTGAAACAAAATATAGAAAATTCCTTACCTTCTAATCCTTATCGTTCAATAAATAAAACAATTGCTTTAACAAAATATTTGTAATTTTGTTCTTTTAAACAAAATTAAATTTGAATTTTTTAGACTAAATTAAATGAACGTGTTTTAATTTTAAGTTAGTTTTAAGTTTTATTAATTTTGCGAATATAACTTTGGTAATTTAAGTTTGAGTAGAATAATCATGTCGTTGAATTTATTTTTGTATACTCTGCAAGCATATTGAAGAAAAAATACACCATCTTATAAAAAAATGATTTTCAAAAAGATTTTTTTCAACGAAGCCTTTGAAGTAGTGCAAGTTTTGAGAAATTGTTTTAAAGATAAGATAGATATTTGGTAATCCCATTTTGTTGAAACAACTGTATGTGCAACGAAGGTATATGCAAAAAATAAACAACACGATTTGACATTTACACATCATGCTTTATATCTGATACATAGCTTCAAATGTTTATAGAATATTGGATAATTTATGTACCATTTCCATTCTAGTTTGACAAAATTAGCATTATATGATTAAATACAGTAAGTTTAAAGTACCTTGTATGTTCCCAATAGTGGAATCAATCGTATATAATGGTAAAAAAATGTGATATATCATTAAAACAAAAAAATTTTGATAATGAAACAAAAAGAGGAAAATTCGAAATAAAATATAACTGCTGTATATATATATATATACAAACGTCTTGTGTTTAGTATTTGTGTACACAAATACTGGACTATAAGATAGATATCTAAAATGAGTGATTAAATTTACAATATTCTTCTCTTCATTTTCAATATTTCTATAACATATTATTTTTGCACCAATGAAGATAAGATTTTTGTTAGATATGATATGAAAATAAATGTTTTTGTTTTCAAACTAATTTTACTTCTTATATGAAAAGTAAAATTAATAGATACTAACTTATTTTTATATACTACTACTATCGCTAATAATTAAAGTTGTAAAAATAATGCTATAATTGCCACACAGAAAATGAAAGAAAAATAAGGAAACTGAAATATAATAATAAGATATAGATCGTTTTTATGATTCGTTTGTATGATTGATTGACAAATCTAGCGATTAAAATGTTTATCTGTATTTGTCCAAAATGTATAGAGATTGAATTTTTGGTGTATAAAATTGATTTAAAATTTAATATCGATCAAATTGGGGCTTATAGACTACAAATCAAAGCTTGCTTCATCGCTATCTTCTAATCTAATAGAAAATTTAACCTTCCATCTGTTGGAGTTTATCTTCAAGACTGTCTTGGCTGTCATTCGTGTCATTTAAATTGATTGTGTGATCTTCATGATCTAGTTCCATCACAGAATCTTCCAACTGAGTCTTCTGTACTTCTAATACATTGTCCGATGGTTCAAAAATATCTGTTGATTCTGAGAGATCTTGTTCATCTAAAGTCAAGTTTGAATTCTGTTCAGGTTGTTCCATGACTTGTTCTTCAGACACTGATTCTATTTTAATGGAATCCGGATCCATTTTAATTGAATCCGAACCCATTTTAATGGAATCCGGTTCTGGCGGATCTGATACATCCATAGAGACAGGATGCGAATTAGTTTCAACGACTTCTTCTTTCTGTGAATATTCTTCCGAATTAGATGGGCCAGCTTTTGGTTTATCATTATAATTTTTCTGAGAAGACGATTCTCCAAGAGAAGATATCTGAGTGAGATTACTTAGAACTGTTTCCTGCATCTTGACTACAGATTCAGCTGAATCCAATATACTGCACAATTCACGACTCATTTCTTCTACTTCTGATGTTTCTTCTGATTTTACAACAATAATCTTTTTATTTCCATAAACTTTGGAACTTGTTATTAATGGTTTATTATCTTTTTTAACGTTAGTAGTAGTAGTTGTTGTTGTTATTATTGCTGTTGTTACTGGTATTGCTACTACGGTCGATGCAGTAATTGGTTTTGATATTGTGGAAACATCTTTTGGTATATTTTCTGCTGGCGTTTCAGATTGTATCTTTTCTTTCTCCTTTCCTGGTTCGGGCTGAATATCTTCTACTTTTGTTGTTGTTGTTGTTGAAGTTGTTACAGAAGTTATTGTTACATCATTGTCATTATATTCTTGCTCTTCGTCGTACATACTTTGCTTTTTCTTCACAAACACTCTCTTCAATGGCAATTGTTGTTCATCATCGGATTCGTCGTGACGTTCTGGTGACATTTCCTCGATAGGTTCATACTCTTGTTGCTTTCGAGCCTCTAATTCTTCAATCTTCAAACGTTGTTGCTCTACTCTCTTTTCCAGTTGTTCTAATTTTTCTTTAGTTTCTTGGTCTCCTACCACTAGTGTAGGTTTCTGTGCAGTGCATACAGTTGGTTTTGTTATCGAAGGCAATGCATTTGCAGACTGAGATGTTTTCAATTCAAATTTCGGAGATTCGCTCAACATAGTATCGTTACTTTTTATCGCAGCAGATGGTTGCCGAAGATCCGCGGATGACTGCAATACCGCTTGAACCAAACTTTGATGCTTATCAAGCGGTTTTTTTACAACAACTCTCTTGACAACATTGCCAGTTGGTAGCTTTGCTAATTCCGCTGGATCGATTATCGTACCATCGGGATTCATAATAACTTCTCTGGTCGTATCTCCCTGACGAATAATTCGACGAACAATTACTCTTTTCGTTACTTTGTGACCTGTAGTAGGTGTTTGAGAACTGCTACCTGTAGCATCTTCATCTTTTACAGATGTACTAGTTGATGTTTCAGTAGTAGCAGTAGGTTTTCTGACAACAATTCTCTTTATCACTTTAACTGTGTTTACAGCTTTAGGCGTGCTACTGACTACTACAGGAATTTCAGATTTTTCATCTTTTATAGAAACTTGATTTTGTGAGCTACCCTGTCCTTGCTGAGGTCTTGATTGATTTGTAGGTGTAGATGATTCTTTACTTTGTTCTTGAACATTCTGATGTTTGAGAGGTATCTTATGCTCTTTAAACACTGATGCAACAATTTTTTGAACTTGGGCTTCCGTTTCATCTACCCGGGAAGACTTTGAAGATTCTTCATTCTGTTTGGACTGTGTAGGTTTCGTAGCCGATTGTGGTTGGTTACTGGTTGGACTTTGCTTCATTTTGCTATCTTGTACCTCTCTACGTTGAATAGGCATCAAAGTTTTAATTGTCTTTTTAATCATATTACCATCTTTATGTCTGACGTATACTACTTGTTCTTTTTGATTTTCTTCTTTCTCTGATTTTTCTTGTTCCTCTTCGCTTTCTGACGGTTTGGTTGGTTTTGGAAGCTTTTTCACAATATATGCCGGTGGTTCGTAATCATCATCTCCATCCGAATATTGTTCTTCTTCCTCCTCTTCGTCGGAATCTAAATCAAGTTTTGTTTTATTGTCTGGCTGTAATCCATCTGGTCCCATTTTCTCACCTGCTTCAATATGCTGCTTTATGTGTGTAACATAATCTGCTCGATTCCTGCACGATTCCTGGCAGACGTCACACGTCAATCCCATACCTGTGCGTTTTGTGTGCGTTAATTGGTGTACTTCCAAACTCTCTTTACGCTTAAACGCTTTACCGCAATCCTCGCAAACGTGACGTTTTTCTACAGAGTGTGTTCGCATATGTCTTGTTAAATGATGAGAGAGAAGGAATGAACGAGGGCATAGCTTACATAAATATGGTCGATGTCCAGCATGTGTTGTCAAGTGACGAGCTAATTTCGTACTTGTACGGAATGCTTCTTTACAATATTCGCAAACGAAAGTCTTATCTTCGTTATGTAGCACCTCGTGTCGTTCTAAACCCTGTTTGTATGTGAAACATTTGTTGCAAATATTACATTGGAAAGGTTTCTCTTTTTTATGTACGGAATCTTCATGCTTTTCTAATTCTTCAGTGGTGAAGAATTCGCGATCACAATGCTGACAACCATAACGCAACTCATCTCTATGAACTTTCTCATGGCGTTGTAGCAAATTCGCTCGCGAGAATTGTTTGTTACATATTGAACAAGAGAATGGTTTCTCTTCTGAATGCGTGGTCATATGTTTTCCAAGGTCATATTTAGAAAAGAACATGCGGTCACATTCTGTACATTTATAATTACGATCACGATGAGCTCTTTGAATATGCAAAGCAAGAGCCTGCCGCAAAGGAAATGTACGATCACATTGATCGCATGCATGTACCCTTATCTCACCTGGCTCTAATTTTCGCTCTTCTTTAGTGCTATTTGCATCTTGGTCTCCTTCGCTACCAGCATCCTGTTCTTCCTCATAAAAATCATGTTGATCATCTTTGTCTCTTTGTTTTTCCACTTGCCTGTCTCTCTCTCTCTCCCTTTCTCTTTCTCTTTCCCTTTCTCTATCACGATCCCTATCTCTTTCTCGTTCCCTGTCCCTGTCTCTTTCTCTTTCTCTTTCCCTTTCTCTATCCCTGTCCCTTTCTCTGTCTCTTGTGTCCCGTCTTTCCCTATCACCATTATCAACTCGAGGTTTCTTACTTCCTTCCATTTGAGGTCTTTGCTCTGAAGGTCGTTTGTTATTCATGTCAGGAGGATCATTTGGAATTGGTGGAAATGGTCTTGGTAAAACACCAGATAATGGATAAGCTCTTAACGCTTCATCAGCTTTCTTGCACTGAAGTTTAAATTTGTAAGATCTATCCAGATTCCAGCGACACATGCTGCATATCATTTGAGGCATCCCATCAGCAGCATATACCTTAAATACATAATGTTATAAGTACATACATAATGTTACAAGTGTCATATTCTAATATTTATTACAACTTGTTGCAAGTAAATAAAAAATTTATTGTATATATGCAAGAGATTATATAAAAGCTTATTTAAAACTTTTTTTTCATTGTCATGTCGAGTAAATTAGAACAGAAATTAGAACAATTAAAGTTTATATACGTATTTTGGAAACATAAAAATGACATAATATAAGATATAGTAAGTGCATGATTATTTTCCCGCCAAAAATTCATTAGTGTGAATTATTGTAACAGGCGAAACAGTAAATATTATTTTCACGAAATGTTTATTTATTTGCATATATAGATAAATATCGGTAATGAAAAATATCAGAATGAAAGTGATATATGATGGATTTTACATTTTACCATCGCAGCACTTAAATGAAGTTATCGATGACATATGATTTCATCCTGTCGACTGCATTCATATAAAAATTATTACTCGAAATATAAAATTTTAAAATCTTGATTCATTTACTGCTGGTCCTACATAGTTATTGTACCAGTCAAAAGTTTTTACGGTCGAATCGAAATATAACGAGAAGTGAATGAATGCGTTTGACTCAATCGGCAAATGTGACATCTGCGTTACCTGAATCGTACCATTCACTGTCTATTAGCATTCTGTTCGATGAAAGATATCGATGATAAAGAACGATATTTTTAACGTAAAGGAAGAAAAAACCGAAAGAACGAACAAGATGCAGTGAGCAGCGATAAATACTTGAAAGCACGTCTCTCGCAAGAATATGGTAGTCAGAGAGTAAATCAGTGATGGTCGATGCCGTTTTAAAGAAAAATTACCTCGATGGCGACGCATGACATGATCTGCAGCGTAAGTGGTACTTGAAATGGTTTGCTGTGATCCCTTTCATAGATAAAAGAGAGTGGCTCAGTTTCCGTTAGGCAAAATCGACAGACCCGCCTGGACCTGAGCGGCGCCGGCCTATTCTCCATGTTTGACTGACTATCGTCCGTTCAGGCACCCACAAAGCACACACGCGTCGAAAACACCGTTCTTCTCAAACGTCGTGTATTCGTACTGTAACGCACTGTGAGATTAGTTACAAGAGAAATGCTTGATTTTATTGGAATATGTCACTCATTAAACAAAATTCCAAGAAACGACGCCGAGCGTCGGTAAGCGTCCCGTCACGAACGACGAACGAGTGGGACAATGTACACACCGCTATGGCGCTATTATGGCGGTCCGAAAACTCGCTTTCTCTGCGTGGCGTCTTCCGACTTTTCAGGTTTGCATAGCTTCGGCCTTTGCACATTAGCGCCACCATCTTCTTCTTCCCTTCCTCGGCATCAAAATGCTTTGTCGGTAAAGTAGAATACATTTTCTCATTCAGTCGTGACACAGTCGATATTTCGATTAATCGATGCAAAATGTCTTCACAATACAGGAGAAAGTAGATTGCTTAAATAAACTTAAACTGTGAAAATGAAAATAATTAAATTCCAAATAGGTAATTATTGATTTTCCATTGATTTTCTTCTTTGTATTTAATGAAATATCTCGAAGGAAATTTTGTTAGCGCGTGTTCTCATAAAATTCTTCATAAAATAAGCGGTCTTTATTTCAATTTTTCACGAACAAAAGTGTCAAAGCATTTATTCAGGGTGAAATCGACACGCCGATACGTTACTGCCAAAATACTCCTGTTACGATATCTCGATAGAATTTTAGTATGTATCAAATATACACACACACACACACACACACACACACACACACTGTATTTTGGTTATTTCACGTATTTTTATAAAAGATATTACATTCCTTTTGATTTGTATAGAATAATGTCAGCTGCAAGGAATTGGTTTCGTAAATGGAAAACGCTACCATGCATTGGGAGACGAAGACGACTACGTACGACTACCGGGAATCTGGAATCTCTGCGCCGTGACATCGAAACAGACGTTCACCTCCGAGCGATAGAGGATTTATTACAAAGTCTAGGAACTGATGCGGTACACGGCTTATCCACGACTGTTGCATGCGATCTTTGGAACAAAACTGGCCCAAATGAACTGACGCCTCCGAGAAAGACCACGAATGCATTAAGATTCTTACATCTATGTTTCGGAGGATTCTCATTGTTGATATGGGTATAAATATTCGAGGAACATACAAGTATCATCGACAATACGACCGAATGGAAAATTAAACGTACAAATTGGTTAGGTAGGCGCTGTATTATGTTTCTGCAATTACGTCTTGGAGTATGGCACTTACGGGGAAGCTTCCAAGGAACATTTGGGACTTGGTGTCGTGCTCGTCAGCTTAATTTTAGTAACAGCGATGTTCAGCCATTACCAAGAGTCGAAGAGTTCCCGAATCATTGAGTCGTTCCAGCAGATGTTACCGCAAAAGGCGAAGGTTCTGCGGGACGGCGAGAAAAAGGAATTGCCCGTAGCTGAATTAGTCGTTGGGGACGTTGTCCTCTTGGAAACCGGTGACCGAGTACCCGCTGACATTAGGATTCTGGAATGTCAAGGTAAATTCGTATCGCTGCAGTTGCAACCGTAACTTTCTTATTTCTCAACGGAAAAAAGAAAAAAAACAAAAAGAGTCCTCGCCTTTCTCTTTGCGGACGCTCGAGATATCGTGCGACGTCTTTGTTTCAAATTCACTGAATCGTCCAATATTTGTCTGTATAATTAGATTAACTTAAATTCATATCGTGCAACGATATCCGAAATTTCTTTTTCGTACTTGTTTGGTTACACTTCTTTCTTTACAAGTTGGTTGCACTAGCTGTTACCAAACAGTCTGAAAAGTATATATATATATATATATATATATATATATATATATATATATATAATTCAGTACCTACATATTATTTTCAGTATATATATATTATTTTATACGTATATATATATGTATATATGCAGTATATATATATATATACCTACCTATATATATACTATATATATATAGTACCTACATATTATTTTCAGTATACATACAGTATATATATATATATTATTTTATACGTATATATATGTATATATACAGTATATATATTATTTTCAGTATATATATACACAGTATATACATATTATTTTCAGTATATATATACAGTATATATATTATGTTATATGTATATATACTGTATATATACAGTATATATATTATTTTTAGTATATATATACAGTATATATATTATTTTCAGTATATATGTACAGTATATATATATATTATTTTCAGTATATATATACACAGTATATACATATTATTTTCAGTATATATATATACAGTATATATATTGTATATATACAGTATATATATTATGTTATATGTATATATACTGTATATATACAGTATATATATTATTTTTAGTATATATATATACAGTATATATATTATTTTCAGTATATATATATTATTTTCAGTATATATATGCAGTATATATATTATTTTCAGTATATATACAGTATATATATTATTTTATATGTATATATAATCTAACTAATCCTATATATATATATTATTGCCATTAAGGTCTTAAGGTCGACAATGCTTCGATCACCGGAGAATCTATTCCACTTTTAAGAACAGGTAACGTTCACCCGACGAACAATCTAATGGAAACGAAGAACATGGTCTTCTTTTCGACCGACATAGTGGAAGGTAAGTATTAATTTCTCATTCGAAATTTCCCGCAGTTTTACTCTACTAAGATTTCTTGCATCGTTTCTTTTTTCTTTTTTCTTGTTTTTAATGTTTCGTTTGATGCACAACAGGCAGCGGGAAAGGAGTCGTGGTTGGCCGCGGTGACCATACGGTGATGGGTAGAGTTGCTAAATTAACATCGAAATTGGCGCCAAGACCGACGCCGCTCTCGCGCGAGCTTCATCGATTTATGAAATTGATCTCGTGTTGGGCTGTATTCCTCGGGATACTGTTCTTCACTTTGTCCACCGCGATAGGCTACAGTTGGATCAATTCGACAGCGTTTCTGATAGGCATAATAGTCGCGAACGTGCCGGAAGGATTGATAGCTACCATGACCGTCAGCCTCACTTTAACAGCGAAGAGGCTGGCGAGCAAAAATTGCGTGGTGAAGCATCTCGAGGCTGTCGAGACATTGGGATGCACCGCTGTTATTTGCAGCGACAAAACAGGAACGCTCACGCAAAATAAAATGACCGTAAGTGTATACTATTGTATGTCTTTCTCTCTCTCTCTTTTTCTTTTTTTTTCCGTTTCTACTACTTTTATCAAAAAACTGTGTGATACCTCGTTTCACTTTCCGCAACGTCAGTCTCTCATTGTCTGTGTTTGCTCAGGTCCGACACATGTGGTACAACGGTGAATTGCACGAGGTAATGGCTTCTGACACGTGGAGAAGATATACGAAGAATCCTGGATTTCATAACTTAGCCAGGGTGGCCAGTCTTTGTAATCGAGCTGAATGGGTGCCCTTATCCAAAGACATGCCTGTGCCACCGTTAAGCAAAAGGAAAATTTTAGGTGATGCTTCAGACGCTGCTTTATTAAAATGTATGGAGGTCCTCGTGAGAGGAGGTGCGGAAGCATATAGAAGAACTTGCACAAAGGTGTCAACGTATAGCTGTTTGCAAGTCCAATGGTTTGTCCATGTAACGATCATAGTTTTCTTTTTGTTTTTGGACTTAGGTGTTCGAAATACCGTTTAATTCGACGGAGAAGTTCCAAGCCAACGTTTACGTGTGTGGCAAGAAGCACGTTGTCCTCTTAAAGGGCGCACCAGAAAGAGTTTTAGAACGATGCTCAACCGTAGCGTACGATAACGAAACAAGGAAACTGGACGATGAAATCAAGAATGCTTATACCGAGTCTTGTTATATTCTAGCAAATAATGGTGAACGTGTACTCGGTTTTGCCGACCTCGATCTCCCCGTTTCTCCCTTTTCGCCGGGTTACGTCTTCAGCGAGGATCCTCCGAATTTTCCTCTGCAAAATTTGAGACTAGTAATTCAGTAATTCGTGTTATTTCGATCTTCACTCGAGATAGAATATTATTTATCTACAACGCGTAACTCGATTATTAGATCGGGCTGATATCGATGATGGATCCTCCGAGGCCAACGGTGCCTGACGCAGTATACAAATGCCGCTGCGCCGGAATCAAGGTGATCATGGTGACTGGTGATCACCCTGACACAGCGAGAGCAATCGCAAAGTACGTCGGCATCATCACCGATGATATCTTCCATCACGATCACAATGAAAGGAAGAATTCGATCGTGGTGACGGGAGTGGAGCTGCGAAGCCTCGACTCGCAGGAACTCGACCGTATCATAAAACAGTATCCCGAGATTATTTTTGCTAGGACATCACCCGTGCAAAAGCTTCAGATCGTAGAGAGCTGTCAACGACTTCATCTAATCACTGCGGTCACTGGTGACGGAGTCAATGACTCACCGGCACTGAAAAAGGCCGATATCGGCATCGCTATGGGGATTGTCGGTACATACTTTCTCCTACCTTATCGACTGCTTATCTCACTAATCATTGTCATTTTGACACGCGCGTTTTTCGTTAATAGGCTCGGACGTTAGCAAAGAGGTTGCAGATCTAATTCTATTGAACGACGATTTTGCAACTATAGTTGCTGGGATCGAAGAAGGCCGAAGAGTGTTCGACAACTTAAAATCGAGTATCGCGTATACTCTGGCAAGTAACGTCCCGGAGATAACACCATTCCTGGCGTTCATCGTATTCGGCATTCCTTTGCCCATAGGCGTGATTTGTATATTGTGCATAGATCTTGGTACGGATATGTGGCCAGCCATTTCCTTGGCTTACGAGAAGTCTGAGTCAGACATTATGCTCAGGTGTGATCGATCATTTCACTCCAAAGATTCGTCTCTATCGTTTTATTTTTTTTTTTTTTTTTTTTTTTTTTTTTTTTTTTTTTTTTTTT